GCCGTAGGTTTCCTCTTAGTACAGAGAACTCAACATCTGGCCCGTATCCATCGCAACATCTGCCCAGGCCCAGCAGAATGGACACATGTGGGCAGAGTAGCCTCGGGCACAAAACCTGATCCCCTAATGGAAGAGAAATACTGCCTTCACTTGTAGTAAAAATAAATCATAGTTTCTCTCCAACACATGGAAGGAGCTGTACATAAATTTAGGAGCAATCTCACCTTGATTCTCAGGTCCGCAGCTCCTGGGTGGCACCGGCACATGGCTTTTGGTCTTCCAGCAGGCATCCAACACAAGATGGTTTTGCAGAGTGATGTCTTTTGCGGTGCAGACTCGGTATAACATTGCAATCCACCAGTGTGTTGACTGGGTTGATGGATACCTGCTTATGCAGCTCTTAGGGATGGTACCTGGTGTGCAAGGCTCAACCTAGGCATTCCTTGACTTCAGTCATCCTTTTCTGTCACCTTACAGGGAGTTTGGTGAAAAGCAACCAAAAAAAAAGACAAAAGAAAAATGAGAATATGTTTATTTTCAGGTAACAACTTTTGTTCTAGGGAGTTTCAGAAAACGTTCTGAAATGCATTTGAAAATTCCTGTAGAAAACTAATTCCCACGAGATGCATTTATGTGACAGGGAAGAGAAAAACAGCTGTGATATAATCCTCCAACTGTATTAGGTTTGGGATTTTTTGTGCTGCTTCTTTCAAGATGTGCCTAAACCTTCTTATTTGCTATGTAAATAGAACTTGCACTGTCTTTCAGTAGAAGAAGAAATGATAAAAGGGGATGCTGTAAGCAAAGGATGTGGTTGCCAAATATGAAAAGGGCAAAACTATCGGAAAGCGAGGGAGAGACCTTCAGGTTTTGTGTTTCTCACAGCCTTTCAGAAACCAGCAATGCTCCGTTTGTCTTGGCGCGGCAGCCACGTGCGTAAATAATTGTGAACGCAGCCCAAACACGCTCAAGAGGGCTCTTGGATCGCTGTGTCCTCCCAAAGATGTTGAACCCCTCAGATCAGTGACAATTGCACCAGGCATGGGCTCTTGACCGCCGATGTTCCGACACGTTTGCTCGAGCATCTGGCTTGGAAACTCTCTGGAGAGCGAAGTCATCATGGTTTGCTTGGACCTTGTGCGTGAAACTTGGAGTGTGGCCTCTCCTTCCAATTACGTGCGCAAACGCAGGCTCGTAGCACGTAGCCATCAGGCTAAACTTTTGGATTGTAACCCTCAAGGGAGACCTTGACAGATGTCTTCTGTCATCTGTTACCTAGCAAAAGCCAGCGAACCTCACCCAGGAAATCTTGTCTGCAATTTCTGCCCGAGGGGCACCCAGTTATCTTCATTCATGGGACAGAAAACGCATGACAACTCTTCAGATGTATTTTCAGTTATTGAGTACACAGGGTCATAGGCTGGATAATTAGGTGCCAAAAGAAAAAAAATGAGAGAAAAAGTAGCTTGGTAGTGATCACAAATAGCCTTGCTTGCAATCAAAGCTGCTTTTCTGATAGGAAACCACTAGTCAGAGTGCTCTGGAAAAGCAGTCTCCCGTGTCTGGGGGCACCGGGGTGGAGCAGAAGACAAGATGAGATGTGTGCTGGATTTTCCTGGTAGCAGATACAAAGTGCTGGTCTTTGGCCAGTTGTGCACTTGTCATGTTAGGCCAGGAAAGGGGAAAAGAAGGAAATGAGGAGAGGAAAAAAAAACAACAGACAGACCCTTATTTATGTAAGATTTTTCCCTATGAGCAAATCCCTCCAATGACTTTCCTTCCACTAACGAAGAACTCCTCCTCCAGAGGCCTGAGCTCTGTGTAAGGGTTGGGAAATAAAAGAAAGAAGGAAAAAAAAAACCGTAACAATTTCTTTTTCTTGCTAGTCAATGTGCCGGGAGTAGAGAGAGAGGCTCCTCTGGGAGTTGCAATTACTCCCCTGTGGATGCTGGAAATGTTTTGGAGGTTTTTTTAATAGCGGCAGCTCTAGTCTGAATGATGGCAAAACTTAGTCTGCTGCTATTAGTGCCAGCTCTCTAGATTGAGCAGGGAAGAAAAAAGGCAAGTATCACTTTGGGGTGTTTCTGGGGAAGAGATGTTTCCACAGCCACAGTTTGCTTTCTTGGGAGCACTATGAAAATACTTATCCCAGCCCTGTGCTTCGTGGAATCAAAGTCTGCCAAGTCTTGGATTTGAAGCCTAGGAGTAAAAACTGAGTCTTCCCCAAAAGCTGTCTTTAAACTCTTGATATGGCAATGCACGGTAAAAGTGAATAGTAAAAGTAAAATAAGCAAGATTATTCAGTTCTAGTTGTAATAGTGTTGATGATTTTTAAAGGTTAGTGCTGGTCTATGAGCAAAGATTGTATTATGAAGTATTATCTGAAGAATTCTTCTGTTAAAGCAATGCTGCAATGCTGCTTTTTCCCCGAGTTAAAAATTCACAGTTTATTGGCAGCCTGAGTTAATCTGGAGGTTTGATCTCTGTTCTGTGCTGTAGGATTTAGGTAATTTTGCAAAGGTTGCAGTCTCTTCGTGGTTTTGCTTGGATTTGAGAATCATTTATATGTAAATGAACCTGATCTCTTGTTCTTTCCCTTCTTACCAATTAACTTTGTTTTAAAGCACATAGTTGTGTGAGCAAAATCAGCGAGTGGTGCTGCCTGGGGCGGGTGAAACTGGATGGCGGTAGCGTGGTGATCATGTTCGCTGGAGCTCATCACCGAATTGACTCGTTGAATAATCAGACCTTTGAACTAAGTGCAGTGATAGCCCATCCATCTCACTCCGTTAGGCCACTGCAAGGCAACTCTTTTGTATCTTCTCATAATTTGCCCTATGTAAATGGCGGAGGTGCTTATTTTTAAAAGCGGCAAGAAAGCCTGGTTGAACAAGAAAAAAGTTGGAAGAACAAGCCCTCAAAGAGATTTTGACACTGGTACCAAGGGGTTTATGAAAGATAAAACAACTTTTTTTTTTTAACGGCTGAAGGGAAATGCCATTAAATCCCTTGTGCCTAGCTGCTACAGTAAACTTGCCAGAGGTATTCCAAAACCAACACGCTGCGAGATATTTGATGATTGTCAATGAAAATTAGGTGCAAAAATGCAGCACCCCTGCGTGTGGATCAAGGGGAGCTCCTGGGTGCTCAGTATAGGTTTCGATACACTCACAAATGACTATAGGGATGATTTTTAAGGGGAGGGTTGCTAGTTTTGACTTTGAAACTGCATCCACTATATCTACTTAGTACCTCCGTGCCTGTAGTGCACAGCATAGGTCATTCTGCAAATGGAAAATAAGTTGTTATTGCATGAGTAAATGGGAAAATTTCTGCAGGTTGTTATCTACCGTGCTAATCGTTATTATGAAGAAACAAATCATGTACTCATGGCAAGATCTGCTATAGTAAAAACAGGTAATATTTGCTGAAGTTCTCTACAAATTTTAATCCTCCGTGTAACATCAGATGGAAATCATTGCTTGGTGATGTAGCACAGCTTTGAGCAGAAACTAGACAAAATCTAGGATTTTGCGTTGTATTTTTTGGACTTCATTCAAACTCAGGGCTCATAGTGGAAGGGAGGTGGCACGAGAAGGCTGGAAAATCTGATCGATGAGCTCGGGAGACCTGATTTCGGATCAGTGTCCTGGTGCTCAGGTGGTTTAGTGCTTGTTGTACCATTGCTCGCCTTTTTGGAAACTGGGGGAGAAGATAATCCCATTTTCCAAGGAATGGTAGAGCTGGGATACTTCACATGAACTTTTTCTTGAAAAATACTGATCCCTCGGAAAATTATGTTTATGATGCTGCTGAGCTTCAAAGTTTGAGGAGAGGGTGTTTCAGGCTTGGAGTAGGAAGCTTGTGCTTCAACTGCCATGTTATTGATTACTCTGGGACAGGAGAATTGCTCACAGCACCATGGGCTTAAATTACTTAAATACCCCCAAAAAAAAACCCCTTTCAGAACGCAAAAAATCTTATTTTACACTAAAGGCAAGCATCTCTGTGCTTGAAATAGGTTGACTGGAATGAACTCCATTGACAGCAATATCATTATACATTAATAACTAATATTGCACAAATAGTGAGCGTGATCTGCTTCAGTGGATCTAGGAGAGAAGTCAGTCTCCGCTCTCAGAAGCTTGCAGGCTGAGCCTGCTCACACGGCTGGAGAGCTGAGAGGCTGTTCCTCGAGGTGAGAGGGTGGTTCTCACATTTAATTTTAATTTCTGGCTAGACTGGAGTTCACACGTGGCTGTCTTTAATGTAGAAACTCCAATTCGTGTTGCTGGACATGGAGCAACTGTGAGTCTGAAGGATTTTTGGATGCTAGAAGAGGTGGGATGGTAGGGAGACGATGTGACGTGGGAATTAAAGAGAAAATGGTATCAGACGAGGATCAGACAAGCCTGTTCATGTGGTCTCCTTACCTGCCTTTCCCAGACAGCCCCCGTGTTTCCCCAGGCAGGGATTGAGGGGGCAATTGTGAATGTCTGGCATTTAACTGGAGTAAAAATGTTATGTTGAGAGAGGCAGGAGGGTGCTTATCTCAGGGAGAGGCAAAGGAGATGGGAGAAGCAGGCATTTTCACAAGCTCTACGTATCACAGCGTGGCAGGGGCGATGGAGGAGCAATTGGAGGCAGCCTGCCTCAGTTTCCCCACCTGAGATTTCAGGTCAAGCTGTAAAGAAAACCACGTGAAGCTCCAGTCTGTGCAAGCACTTTAGTCTAAATAGGAGGCAAAACAAGGTAATTATAAGGTGGGCATCCCTCGATATTCACCGCACGCAGTACTCAGCGCAGCTACTGCGGGATGTAGGGTGGGTTAATGCATTTCTAAAGCAGGTTTCCCACCTCTTGCTGCTCGACCGCTTATCGCAGGTTTTAAATGAAATAGCCTATTGAGCATTAAACTCTCACGGATTTGACTGGGCTGACGTGCACCTTTGCATCTGCCGCAGGGCCTGCAGCTCGAGGGGCCAAGCGTTGCTGTCGGGATGAAGCAGCAAGGCATGAACCTGAGCGAAAATGAACGACTTGCTCCGGAGAACAGCCTTGCGTTCATCCCTCTGTGCACGGCTGTTTTGGGGATGGATTTGTAATGTGTGGTGTGGGGTTTTTTATTATTACACCGTGGAAAATGTTTTTCTGTCCAAACCAGCTGGGTCTTCAGCAACACTAAAAAATTAAAAGCACTTCTGTGCTAGGTGTTCCCTAAAAGATGGAAAATAAGATTTTTACATTAAAATGCCAGGAAGAAAAATGGTGAGGGCATAAAGTGCTGCTCTATTTTCATCAGATGCTAGTGCTTTTGGAAAATCGGTTGTGCTCCAGCGGTCATTACCCGCCTGTGTGCTTCTCTTGCTGTGTGCTCCAGCTTCTCTCGGAAAGGTGACTATGCAGCCAGCCTTGCATTAGCTGTAGCTCCAAATACACCCCACAGGCCACCGCAGCGGGCAGAGGGGACTCCTCGGGACCTAGTCCCTTTTTCCTTCCTCTATTTAATCGGCTCTACCTTTGTTTCAGGAGTATCGACATCGGGGGCTCTGGGCCCGGGGAGCACCACCGCCAGCACCACCGCACGGATGGCCACCAGCAGCACCGGCCGCCCCACCACCACCTCGGCCTCGGGCAGAAGGAACAGGAGCACCAGCACACCATCACCCATGGCCGACGTCCCCGATGAAATGACCACGCACCTCCCAGCCTCCTCCTCCCAGCTACCACCAGCTGGTGCAGAGAGCTGCGACCCCATGGAAGCCCGTGATATTATGTGGTCTCGGACTCGGCAGGGCCAAGTGGCGAAACAACCATGTCCCATGGGCTCCATAGGTGAGTCAAGGAGCAGGAGGACAGGGTGAGCCGTCTCCATTTGCCCGTGGGACGTTGTGAGTGTGCAACCAGGTTGCCCACAGACCCGTGGCACGCGTGCTTTCATCCGTGGAGCACACTGATACCTTCTGTCAAGTCTGCATTGCCTTGGTGAGGTGCGGCAGGCAGTTGGCCGGGGCCGAAGCCTCAATATGGTGAGCACGTTGTGCAGGATCTTTGGCATCGCAAGCTCTGGCCGAAGGAGGGTACAAGCTAACACCCTCGTGGGATTGAGCTTGATGTGCTGTAAGAGCCTCTGCCTCCAGAAGTTACATACGATGCGCCTGTTATCCCTGGTTTTGCCTGTATTTGTAGGCCCTGAGCTCATTGACTGATGTGTTGATGGCCAATGCTTTGCTTGTTTAGCAGGACACACACACTCACACACACACACAGAGGACATTTTGAAGCTCTGTGCTGCACCGTTTGCATTTCAAAGGCCGTGGCCGGCATTTCAGAGCACAGGTATTCCCAGATCGCACTCCTGAACCAGCGCGAGTGATTTTTCAAACTGCAGCCAAGCATCCAGTGCTATCAGCAGAGAAAGCAGGGGGGAAGACAAAGCCAAACCTTTCAAAATAGTTTATTGCTTATTGGATTTTACGCCTTTTCTTCTATTCTCCCCCCCAATTGTTTTCTTCCAAAAGGTTGCTTTTGAAGATTTTCTGTCCAAATTAAAACACAATTGAATGAAGAATAGTTTTTGGCGTGTGGTTCGGTTTGTTCTGTTCTAACAAAAGCAGTTTTCTAAAAGTATTTATTTTTCAAGCTGGTTTTAATGTCCAGCCCCGAGAACCCACTTGCCAAGAAGAAATCAGAAGGTGGAGGAAATTGCCTGAAAATAAAGGCTGGAGGGATCTGGCTTGCAGAGGAGACTCTCTGTTAATTCTCTGTTCCATTGCCCTGGAGAGCCATTCACACCTGTGTATACGAGTACTGACTCTCTCTTGAATTTGGTGAGGTCATATTGATAAAATACATGTTCAAGTATGAGGGGCATGGAAAGAAGTCAGTGGTGAGAATTAGGTAAAGAACATTTTTGCTGTCTTTCCCAGCCCCACTTGGTAAAATTAATGCAAAAAGTATCATGTGGTTCCCAGAGAGGGGAAAGGATAGTCTGAACTGAAGCTGTGAAAAGGAAAGAAAAGATAAAAAAGGAAAACGAAGGCTAGATGCAGGGAGCCCTTTTCTAAGCACAAGAGCTAAGGACTGGATGAAAATAGCTATGGAAAAAAAAAAAATAACCCAACTTGTTGATAGGAGATGGCAATAAGCCTTTCCCATCTCTAATTTCAGTGATTCATACGACTTGTTAAAAGCTGTGGTATATTAGCAGTGGGCCTCTTCCAACTCCCTTTGAAGGCGTGAGCAAACTCTCACTGGTTTTAATCGACGCTACCAACCAGACCTAGCCTGTAATTCACTCCTCTGCTGAAAAGTTCATCTCTGCAGGGCAGAGCACTTCATAGGATGCAGAGTCTTTATTCTACGTGTACCAGCTTTCGTGCTTTTTAACTGCACCATTTCAGATGCATTTCTCTTTGTCTGGAAGGGCCTGAGGCACTTTGCTGTCTTTTGCAGCAGGGATCTGGGCAGCCCGTGCCAGACAAAACTCTCCTCTAAAGTCCCTCTCGATGGTTAGGGGGGGACAGCAAAGCCCAGCGTTACATTTTGGCGTTGGTAACGTTTAAACTTTTGTGTGTTTCCATCCAAATGGTTTCATGATGATTCAGAGCAGTAAAATCTTTGTAAAGCAGCAAGGAAGTCAAGGCACAGGGTTTGATCCTAGGGTGCCGGCGATGGGGCAGAGCACTCGAGGTGCTGGCTCAGCGTTTGAGATCCAGCTTTGATTTCTTAGTCCCTGGTAACTTTCCTGCCTGGCCTAGGGTAAAGCTTTCTGTCTGTCGTCTCCATTTGGCAAAATGGAGATAATATCCCTCCACTACCTCACCAGTCTTTTATGTCTTAGGGCCCTTAAGCACTAAGATGGTGGGAGACTGGGACACAGAGATGATCGGAAGTGTCCTACTAAGGTCCTGAGCACTAATAAACTCCCAGGCTTTGCATGAGGCGTCCATCATTGTGCAATGAAGCCTGTGACATGAAGTCCTGGGGCCAAAATGCAGCCGATAACACTGAACACAGCGACTTTCCTCTTCCAGGTGTTGCAACTTTCCGATGTCTTGCGCCAGACGGGATCTGGGAGCCCCAAGGACCTGATCTCAGCAACTGCTCTTCTCCCTGGATCAACCACATCACTCAGAAGGTAAAATCCTTTCCCGCATGTTGACCACACCGAGTCTACGGACTGACCTTCCTGAGCTCCCTGGTTGTTTTCACACCAAGGAATCCAAAGTGACCAACAGTTTGCGCATAAAGCATGAGCCATGCGTAGTAGCCAGGACTTGCAAGGAGAAAGCAAAACTGTAAAAATCTGACGGAAATTAAGGCAAAGAGGGTGAGGGAAAGGCAAAGGAGAGGGACTGGAGAGTGGAATTAAACTAGAGAGAATGACGGTTCTTGTTTGTGGCAAGGAAAGGAGGAAGAGGGAGGAGGAGGTGGGTGGACATATGGAAAATACCAACCTATTGCAAAAGGAAACTTTCTGTTTCATGCCTCCCCAAGGATTTTCTCATGCTACACAAGCACAGGATAAACCCTGCAGTTGAGAAACCTTTACCAAAGGAAGACAGGCTCAATATGAACTGTTTGCATTGCACTTCTGACTTTCTGTTTTTAAGTTTTGCCCAAGTTATGAAAGAACTGAAGGAATAGAAAACAATGCCACGGTAATGTGTATCTTTTGACTCTTTAAGTCCCTTGATGAATGTTTTGTAGCACTTCATCATTTATCAGTGTTAAAAGTGCGTTAACATGTGACAATAGAAGTTCAAGACAAGCAGAGCTTATTTGGTAGCAATATGTTGAACGTTTTTGTTATTAATGCACAGTGGTACTTTCAGCTGCTTTCATTACAAACAGAGACCAGATGTGTGTTTATGCCGCAGAGTCTGTGGGCTGAATCCTTATTACGGCAATTCGTAGCAGTTTATTCACTCCTTTAGCCAGAGCAAACAAGTCCCAGCATTGCGGGCTAGTTGTGCTGCTGCCTGGTAGCAACACTGCAGTCCTGGAGAAGCAGTGCTCGCTGGTGAATGGGATGGGCTGACCCTACAGACAAGGCTCTTTGGCTTTCTCTTCCTTCTTCCTCATCCTAACTGAGGCTCAGCAACCTGCGAATCACTAGCACATCCATCCCTGATCATCCCTATCTCATTTCAGCTGTATTTATCCCCGTCTTTCCCCAAAGATGAGGGAAAGCATCAATTAATGTGGAGCTGCTTGACAGGGTACAACCACTACAAAGCCCGTGGGTCTTCTGTCCCACGCGGGAGGGTGGGCAGCTCTCTGGCCGTACGCTCAGCTAGCTGATTAATAAAAACTGCCTTTGCCAGCATTAGCAGCTGTGCAACTCTTGGTTTATGACCCACGTACTTATCCTGGAGGGGTTAATATTACTTATTCTAGCCATAATTCACCTAGGCAGCTGGGAGACCTCTTGCTGCTCGGTGAAGATGGCTAGACCATCAGCCATTAGCAGAGGGAAATAATAGCCTGCACTGATGAAATCTCCATCAAGGTTAGGCTTATTTTATTTGAAACCCCAGCTATCATTTGCGTAACAAATGAGCCTGATTTAATTTGTTACGTGCTTTCAAACAGGGTAAAATTGAAGAGCCAGGTTTTCAGAAATGCACAGCAGGTTACAATTGGGACAGGATTTATTTGTTTTTATTGTTTTTATTTTCCTGGAGGAATCTAGTTATGTTCAGCTTTGGGAACCTTCCACCAGTTGATGGCAAGACTAGGGGGATCTGCTGAGTGACTCTGGGTCTAAGCTTTTGATGCCTGAGTAGGAATCCACTGGGATCTTGGGATACGTGGCCCAACCTCTACGGAGAGCTGCTACTAAACATCAGGACTTTCCAGGAGTGATTTTTGAGGGGAAAGCCCTGTCAGGCTTGCTTAGGGACTGATGCTGATTCAGTAGGATCCCCACAGCAAACACAGTTTTAAATTACCTATTAAATAACCGATAGCCACTTGATTTCTCTCCCCAAGCAAGAGGCTTGGAAATCATCATGACACTTAGACATCAAGACTGATTTATCCATAAATCAGGCACTGGTTTCTCACATCCCTGCCGTGGAGGGGCACACTTCCCTTCCCCAAGCTTACAGATTTGCTCCAGCACCTCTCTAAAGCTGAAAAAGGAGCCTTCCTCCTCTAAGCCAAGGGCAGCTAGAGGAAGCAGTATCCAGCCATGCCACGAGGACAGGGGATGGTCGCACCTGGCAGCTCAGCTCTCCTGCATCCCCAGCACTCGGGTTCTCCTTGGCCACCCATCCCACAGCATCCGCAGCTGCAGCACAACTTACAAAATGGGTAGAAAAGCTTCTTTGACAGCCAGGGTTCCTACCTGCTCAGCGTGTCTTTGTTCCTAATCTGCTTTGTCTCCCAAAAATCCCCTCTCCTGTCACCTGCTGGGTCGGAGCTGCTCAGGAAGCAGGGTGATGGGTTGCCTGGAGGGATTTCAGCCAAGCCAGAGAGGATGGTAGGGAAATACTGTGCTTGCTTTCATGTCTCTGTAGTGAAGTAAGGATTATTACTCACAGCTTTTCTTTCTCCTGCTGTGCTCAGACCGTACATTGGGTGTTTGCCTGCTTGCATCATGGTATGAGGTTTTACAACCCTCTGTTAGCTTCCATTAGAGTTATTGTGCTTGATGGAAGATCAGAACAAATGTCCGCTTCAGCAATTCATTGGCCTCCTGACATTTACTTTAACTTTATTGTTGGTGCCTACTATGCCCTCGTAACATAGCAGGAGAATAAACCTGCCAGTGCGATTGAATTATGCACTGGTACCTGGGTTATTTCTAGAGTCAAGCAGTAAAAGGAAGCAAAAAGGTCAGCTTTGGATACATTGCATCGTCCTGATCATGAGGTCATACATTCAGTCTCAGCCTGTTTGTTTTACCTCTTACTTTCATCAGTACTGTCCTTGGCACAGTGTGTGACTTGCCTGAAAATATCGTTTCCTCGCGGCGGCTTTTGGTTGTGGTTGCTTACTGGGAGGAGAGGCATCACTATGCTCGGCTTCAGGCCTCTGGAAGACAACAGAGTAGAAAGCGTTGTGTCCTTCATGAATGCATGAAAAGCCTCAAACTGTAAATCTAAAGCACATGCCACCCATGTTCATATTGTCCTCCTGAACAGCCTAGATGATATAGTCCCAAAGAGCAGATAAACCTCAGGGTTCAAAGTGCCTTCATCAGGTCTTGTAGATCTGCTTGGGTTTGTCTGGCAGAGGGAGTGGGCTTTTGTGGAGGACACCAGGACATCGTTGTGTCCAGGCCTGAGGGGGAACTTGCAGTCCTGATGACACCACGATGAAAACCTCCATCCTCGTTGCTTTTGACAGTCAGTTCTCAGAGCGCCGTGGAGCAGGAGCTACAGTTGGTGGACATTAAATGTGGTTTAAGTTGTTTGAATACCATAGTTTCAGTTTTTCAGTGTTCTCCAGCTTTGCTGTACTGTATGGAGAGCAGCGAACCAACTCTCTGTTGGATAACCAGTGTTTATAACTAGTTAGTTATATCCTTAGGCATCATCTGATAAAAGAAAAAAGCAAAGTTGACTGGAATGGGATGTTCATCCTCCAAAAAACCCATAGATATGCTCTGACTTTTTCCTATGAATGCACACATGTATAACGAAACCTCTGCCAGGGACAGAAAATGGCCATGAAGGCTTTGCAGTGTCAGAAGTTAGCCCACAGCCCCTTTTCAGCCTTGCTACCTGACTGCTGGCAACTGATGGTGCCTGATGAAACCTGTCAGATGTTTGTCCCTCCAGAAAACAGCATCACCTCCATGGCCTTCCCAGCTGTCCGGTCCATCTGTATGTCACTGGTTTTAAAAATCTTGGTTCAGTCTTTCGTACCATCTTTTTCTTTTTTATATCAGCCAGCCTCAGGCTGCAGGAAAATATTTTTGCCCTTGTGACGCTGATGTTTCAGCACATTCGCTCTTTTCCCAGCATCTTTCTTATTTCTTCTGAATTTTCTTCCCTAAACACTTCTTTTCTGCAGTTTCTCTCTTTTTTTATCCTACTATCCTTTTCTGCAGTGGGTTCCCCCTGAGAAAGATAGGGCTGAAACAGCGAGCAATGCTGCAGGAGGGTCCTTGTTAATCTTTCCCAACAAAGATCCCTGCTTTTGTTCCTTGGTATATGTGAACCAGGCAGGAATATGTACCCTCTCCAACAACTCTTATTTCATAGCCTTTTCAGTCATAAGACGATGCAAGATAATGGTACAAACTTGGAAAATATGAGCAAAGCGTTGCTCAGCGTGACTGCAGGTATACCAATGCTCATTTGTAAATCTTGGCCTGAATGCTGCCAGTGTGCTCAAATGGAAGAGGGGAACAATTTTTTTGACAGAACTAGAAAACTCTGTTGTGTATGTTGGCATTTTTGGCAGGAAACATTTTTTTCTCTTCTTCAAATTAGCATTCCAAGAGTAGATTTAATCAATTTGTAAAAGGCAAAAAAAATCACCCAAAACAACCAGAAACCTAATTTGGTTTGAACAGAATGTTTTCTTTTGTTCCGGAATACTTTTTGGGTTTTAAATTCAATTTTTTCATGATCAAGATAGAAAAAAAAAAATTAGTCTCAAATCAGAGAGAGACATATTATCTTTGATTCTCTTTATTCTTGAACCTCCCAGTAGAAAGCTCAGTTACTTGCACATTTTTTCCCTTCTTCTTGCTGGTCTCTTAATGGCAGCCTGACCCTCGAAGAACCTCTCAAGGATTGTTCCTGTCTTCCTATGTGACTATGTCAGTGCTTGGGTTAAAGAGTATTACATGTTTTGGAAGAAATGCCTCATGAAGAACTCATCTTTTATGCAGCAATAAAGAAGAGGAAGATATGGAGAGGTGCTTTGTAGAAGGGAAGTAAGTTAGTAATGCATCCTCTTGGGCAGCAGTGAGTTTTGCTGAGCATTACATAGAATTAACAAAAAAGGAGCTCAGTCCTGTTGTTAGAAGAGACCAGACATCTATCTTAGGCCTGGAATATTCAGCCAGCATTTGAGACTGATAAGAGAAGTTGGGTTTGAGGGGACTGCATAGAAGACACTTCAAATTCAATGGAAAACGCTCAAAAGAATGGGGGAAATTCGCATTAACATATCATGCAGCCATCATTTTGGATAGCCCTTGCATTACGCATCCAGGCAAGATGGAAGGAGTGTCTCAGCACTGTTGTGGTGACTTACAGCTGCATTTTTGGGGTGACAGTGAATAGGTTCGGAAATGAGTGTCAGTGCTAGGAAGTAGTTTCATCACTTGTCAGCCAGACCCGTTGTCCCAAGGGAATGGCATATCTCTGTGCTTTCAGGAAACCTGGGTGCATGAAATGAGTTTGAGTAAATTCTTCTGTGTCCCAGGAGTTCACAGATTTTGAACTTTAATGTGCCTTTTTGCAGGCATTTTCCATTGTTGTCTATTTTGGGGTGGTTTTTTGGTCACGCTAGAATTACTCAGATTTGCAGATTTTAGGATCAGTCCAAGATAAAGAGAAAAGGGTTTATTAGTGACCAGCCCGCACCAGTTTTGCAGACCAATGAGGACAACGGCAGCCTTCAGTTGAATGCAACAAGAGCCTTACTACAGGGAAAGAAAACTCTTGGGTTTGCTTTTGTAGCAGCTGAGCAATTTGCTCTGAGCATGCCAGTTTGCATCGATGCATGGTCCGAGAGCAAATGTACTCATCAAATATTGGGTGGCAGGTTTGGGTTTTTTTCTAATGTCCCTGTAAAAAGTATTTGGATTCCTGCCGTTTTCTGCCAGGCTTACAGAAACACCATGTGTCATGATACATGCTAAGCTCCAGCAATGAACTGCGGGAAAATGTTGAAATTGATTTCTTTATGTAAAAGGATTTGATGTAGTCATTCTTTAAAGTTCTGGGTGTGAACAGAAGAGGTCAAAATGCAGCCTCTATGCTGATGCATGGCTTTCTTCAGCTGCTTAGGGGAGCAGGCAGCTGTAAGAATAGGATCTGGTTTCTATGGCATTCGCCTTGTGTGTAACAAGGAAGAAATAATTCAATTTTTGAGTATATGTTATCATTGCTCTAATGGGAAGAACAACACATTAGCTCCTTTATTTATCTTATCTATATCATCGTATGCTTTAATTCTCTGAAGATGAGCATATGAACATCTTCAGTTAGATTTCATTAAATCAGATGGGCTGTTGCTGTCAAATTGATGGAAGTAAGTTATTCATTTATAACTCAGCTAATTGATTTACAGAGAGGTAGAAGCTCAGCCTGCAATCCTTCCCTAGAATCTTGCTTTTATAATAAGCACCAGAAACTGAGGGAACAAGAGAAACATCTGATTTCTAACTGTTGGAAGATAAGACAATTGGAAATTTCATATGAAGAACCCACCAGAGTTGGTCATTGAGCCTGCTAAAGAAGTGGGAGCTTCATTTAAATGTCATCCTCTGTAATTTCTCCTTATCCCTGGCATATTTCCCATAGATACACGTTCCAGATCACAGTGTGGTGTATAACAAAAAAAGGCCAGCAACCTGCAATAGTATTTTTGTAGTGGGCTGCTCGTAGAAAGGAGCCGGGACCAGCTGCCCTGTCCCCAATCCCCATGGCACAGAAGAGGAAAGGGGCACCAGACAGAGGGAGCAAAACAGAGCAAGAATTTTTTTAGTTTCCCGAATAATTACACAGTGAATTTCACCGCAGGTGATTCGTGAGTTTTATGACTCAACTAGACAATAAAAGTCTTTTAATAGAAGATTCAGCCAAACAGCCTACTTGGTTTTCCCTTCCAGCGGGTGTCTGCTTGAAGCCTTAAGCCTTTTGCTCCTGAGTTAATATGCTTTTATGTGCCGAGAATCACTAGCCTCATTACAGATGTAGTGGCTAGTGTAGTAAGGAGCATGTCTCCTGTGTGCAAATGTTAAATGGTAAATTAGCACCTGATTATTAAATCCGCACGACGGGAATTGTGAACTTTTTTCTCTTGTTCATTGGGGTTATGTCACCTATTTTAGTTCTTTTTACAAGGAACTTTTTTGCACAGAACTTGTGACAGAAATCATCTCTTCGCTATCAAATAATCTGCTGGAATCAGAAACTGCTCTTTCTTGACAGGAGAGACTATTTACATGGTTTGGTTTTTTCCGAGCGGCATAGATAAGGCAATGGGACAAGCTACCTGAAGCCCTCCCTAGCATGAGCATCCCATGGAAAGCAATGCCATCTTTGGTTGCATCTCCTGCAATGCAAAGATGCAGCTGCCCCTCAATTCCAGCAGTGCCCTGTGAGAAGATCAGAAATTGTTGTGTTGAACCCAAGATGATGACCATAGCTGGAAAAACCAGTTGTGTTTAAACCATGCTCAAACACTGTACATGGTCAAACTGTGAAGACCCTTGCTGTACGTTCCTTCTCAGGAACTTCTTCTCTTCCTCTCTTCTTTTCTTCTCCTCTTCTTCTCTCCTCATCTTCTTCTTCTTCTTGCAGGGAGTTGACTTGCTTAACGCTGTGGGGCTGGAAGGGACTGGAGTAACATCATACTAACAGCCAGTTACTAACTCTGCTTTCTCAATTGCAGATGAAGTCAGGGGAGATGGCTGCTAACATTGCCCGGGAGCTTGCGGAGCACACAAAAAACCACTTGTACGCTGGTGACATCGCGTACTCCGTGTCCGCCATGGTCCAGCTGGTGAACTTGCTTGATGTGCAGCTCCGAAACCTGACTCCGGGTGGGAAGGACAGTGCTGCACGCAGCTTAAATAAGGTAAAAACAAAGGGGCTTGGAAAGGGACAAGGGGCTGAAGAAGGGTTTGTCTTTCCCTGGAGAGCTATTATAAATGTCTTTCTGAACGACTGCCATTTTAGGGCAGTGATTCTTTCATAGTAGACAAGAGTACCTGGCGGTTTTTCGTTTACAGTGTATTTTATTCTAGAAACGAAACAGTTGTAAATGCCAAGTGTACTATTGGTGCTGGGAAATGTATACCCTTAGATGCGTAGATATATGAACTCCAGGTACTTCACTGTGGTCTCAGCTCTCATAGCTCAGTATGAGAATAACTCAAGTGATGCCATGGCGATTATTTTGGGCGTGTGCCAGCGTGAATGAGACCAGAATTTTCTCCAACCTTTCCAGTACTGAATCTGTCTATGAAATACCATGTAATATGATCCAGAAAATCTGAATATTTAAAGCCCCAAGAGGCAGAGAGAGTCTGGATTTTGATTTTTTTCTGTCTTGTAACATTACAAGATGCTGGTGTGAAGGTCAAGTGAACACTTTTATGCATGAATATAAACAAATAAAAGCAGACAGAAACATTTATTTACACTGGAGGTACATTTACCAAAGGCACATAAGTTACCATCATATTTACACTTAAGGTCTTCAGGATGGTTTAGTATTACAGGGCCTTTTTAGTGATGACCCATGACTTAGCCCAGAAGCACTTTACTGCACGATGGTGGTGTGGTTTCTGTGCCCCTGTTTGAGAAGAATTATTAGTCCTTTTGTCATTTCCAGAATTAAGTGGAATTGCTACATACTAAAAGTGCTAGAAATTGCCAGTCATGGGAGAAAATACGGGCTGTGGAGTCTGTAAAAATACATTGAAAGTTGAGGGTTTCCTTGCTCCAAAGCCCTCTTCATCACTGAATCGCGTGTAAACACATGGGATAGGATTTATATAGGATTCAGACAGTGAATTGTGCGGGCCTGGTCATCAGAGCAAAGAGTAACCGAACCCTGTGGCTATGAGCACATGGTTATATTGGCCACCCAGTTAAAATAAGACACAGAATTTTGTTCCCAGCTGTGTAGCTGGCTCTGACAGCCCTGGCATCCATGTGAGTGAGAACAGAACTTGGTCCCAAGGTTATATGGGGAGTAAATGATCCCAGCTAAGCCTGAAATTTCTTGTGTGTCTTCTGAGGAGAAATACTTTTCAGAGAATTAATGTCTTTTTCTCTTGTAAGTTATTATTGTAGACTTACGCTGTTTTAAATGCAAAAGGCTTCTGGATTGTTTAAGATTACAGCCGCATGGGAATCGAAGTCCTGCATCTCATGTGCTTTGCATGTGCTGTGAATTGGGTTATCCTGATGCTTTTAATTAGTGCTGCTTCCAGCTATTTTATAACAATGTAGGTAATAGTTGTATTAACTGTTGCATCAGCATAACATTATTTGTTATAATCATACCATGGTTCTTTGTTTGAAATGATGGTGATGTCTGACAATATCAGGTAAAACCAGCAATTAATGTCACCTACTAACGGGTTTCATGGTTGTAGTCTGCTCGCTCTTCTGAATATGCCCTAGTCACACCCAACATTTTGTCACTCCAGCTTTGCAAGCACATATTTTTCATCTTTTTATATCCCACCTTCCGATGTTTGTTTCAATTTCATGAAATGGGGTTGTATCAGGGGAGGGGGGCAGGTACGAGTTACTGAGGGGAGGGAAAGACTGAGCAAGGCAGAGCTCCTCGGCTCGGCTGTTGCTCCTGGGGTCCCCTTTGCAGGTTTTCCCCCCCGCCATCGACTTTGCACAAGCAGCTCATACAAATCAATTGCACTCCGCATTAAAATTCTGGACCACGTGGAGTCCTGCAAAACAGCGATGCGAGTCAGTGATCCAAATGACAGGCTCGGTAATTTACTTGCTCTCATTCCCCACTTAATTCTTTAGAAGAGCAACTGCTCTGTGTTCATTTAAGAATGCATGAATTCAACTTGGAAGTAGTATTGGGCAAACAAAAGGCAGCGGAGTTACTGCTCCATTTTCCCCTTCGCTGATCAAGAGTATTTCCAAAAAAAAAAAAAGGGAAAAAAAGTCATTTGCAAAGAGTTTTGTTTAGTGCTGTTTTGTCAGAACGAAGAAATAAAGTAAGCACTAGCCATTAAATATTCTTTTAATCATTAAAGGAAATGTGCTGGGGATCTGAAAGTAATCACCTGTGCTGTTTTGTACTGGGGTTTGGTTTTTTTTACAAGCTGATGTACAATGAATTGAAATAAACTGGCATAATCAGAATTTTTAAAAGCCATCATCTTTCAGGAGCCACTTTCCTGTCACTAAAAGCTTTATGCTTTCCACTGGATCAGGCTTAATTAAGGTAATAATTGTTCCGTTGCAGACTGGCAAGACCCCCGAGTGGATAGCTCTGTAATTTTCAGCAAGGCTTTCTTTGATCTCCATTTGTTTCTGTAAAGTCTTCGTACTGACCAGGTTCACCCAGAGGAAGATTTCTGCTGTTACAAATTGATGAATTAGAAAATGAAATTAGGCATTGCGTGATACCTGGGTGTATTTTGTTTATTTCAGAGCCTCAAAACTCTCGGGGACAAATTTGGCTCTCATCTGTACTAATGGGATTGCACTGCTGTGAGTTGAGAGCACAAGGTACCCCGAATCTCTATTGATGTGCAATTTCCCACCCAGGCATATCAGCAAAAACAAACCCAGTGAACCCAGTGGCTCTGAGCAGTTTGATTTTGCGAGGTTTAGTTGCATCGATGCAAAGCTCGGCGATCCTAGCTCACCGCTGCAGACTGCCTGCAAAGTCCCAGGGAGGTAAAGAAGTGCCTGCTTGAATTTTGGGACACGTTAAAGTGTAGTTATCAGACAAGAGGCGTGTAAGTGCATATCAAAGTACAGTCTTAAACGTGGCTCCTGTGGAAAAGATGGGATCCTTTGTGGAAAAGCTCTTCAGCATATAAAGCATTTAGGCCCTGGAATTACAAAGGGAAGCACGACTCGGTATGAGAGGACTGGAAAATGCATTCCTGGAGCAGCAGTTAAATCCAAAGGGGAGAGAATGGCCTCAACTGGAAATATTACATCCGATTCCTATTTCATTGTTACATCCTTTCAGTGGCCCTTGATGCTATCAGGAGCCCAGGGCAATGTGCAATGTGTTATCTGTCACACTGGACATGTGCCTGAGCTGGCTTTAAGCAAGCTCAGAGCAGTGAAGCTGGGGCACTGTAGGTCTTGCCTTGAGCCCGAGACCTGAGCAGATGTATCCGGATGGGTCCATATAAGTCCATCCTGGATCAGGATGCAATCCTGCGTGCATCTTACTCCCTGGAGTTGGTCCTGCTCATCCAAACCTTGGTTATAGCTCGCTGTGCCATCAGCGCTGTCTGACTGCAGAGCCCACGCTCCTCGTATGTAAATAACCCTCAGCCCCATCCCTTCCAGCCTTGTTTGATGTGGCAATATCATGTGTGAGCTCCAAGCTGCAAGGAAAACAGCATCTCTTGAGCATCTCTACTTGACTTCAGTGTCTCCTACCATCTAACAGCTGCTCTTGCAAAGTTGCCAGTCTGTGCTTTACTTCACTGAAAAAGGACTAACCCATATTTCTGGAGCCAGTCCTTCCAGCCTTCCACTGCTGCCTAACTCGCATGCTTCCTTTGGTTTGGTTCATTTTCAGGAGCTGTTAAAGAGAGAAATGAGATTTTGTTCATAGGCGTTTTCTTCAATTTTTTTTTCCCCTTGTTCTGTCACTAACTTGTTTTTTCTATTCCGTCTTTAATCTGCTGTCTTTATGGACTCAGCTTCAGAAAAGGGAGCGCTCTTGCAGGGCCTATGTCCAGGTATTTCTTGTGTTTTTAATACACGTGTCCAGTTGTTTGACTGAATGACTGTGAAGTGGGTCTTGTCTCTGTGAATAATCTGATTATTACTGTCTTTGTGGCAGCAAGTTCTAAGGTTAAGGTTACAGGATAAGAATTTCATTCTTCATCTCCCCCCACCTGCCCAGTTGCTCTCAGACGTGACAAAAAATTTGGGGCAAAATCTCTGAACCAGAAAGTGGGAAGAACCACAGGAGAGATCTGACAAGACTCATCCTGCCATCGGAATGAGCAGGACAGTATGGATGTGTGCAAGTAGGGAATGCCAAACTGCTCACGGAGGTGTCTCCAGACCAGCTGGGTTTCCCGTACGGCATGTCGCTCGTATAATTGCCACCTGCATTTCCTTAGTTTTCCTTCTTCCCCTCTTACACTTACAAATTTAGAAACAATTCGAAATGGCAACGCTCGGCATGAGGGAGGAGGTAGGATTGTAATGAAATGCAGAGTGTCCTCGCAGAGGGATGTAGAAAGGAGGAGAGTGCTGCAAACTAAATATAGGATTAGGAACATAACATCCTATAAAATTCACCCAGCTGCGGCCTGACTTTTGTAGGCTTACACTGTGTTTTATGTGAACAAAGTCAAGCCTCAGCATTTTGGAAAGACCTCCTTGTAGGCTTTTCAGGAGTGGGGCCTCAGGTTATGTTATTTATCCTGTCACCTTGCCTTATAGCATTTGCTCCAGTGACTTTTATATAAACCTGTTTGTATACTGTGGGTGAGTTAATGCGGCTTTAAGAAATGTGAATGTTTTACCTTCTAATTTCTGTCTTGTGCTTATGAACATTGATGTTGTACTTATGGGTGATTGATCATTATTTATATGTGTATATATAACATGCGGAGGTGTAAAAATGGACCCCACATTTCTGGAGAGGGCTGCCTGTACTTGAATTTTCCTGCAAAATTCAACTTCCTACAGTCAGTATTGACTTTATTTTGTGAGCACATCTTTCATTTAGTGTGTGGGATTAGATGGTTTAGATTTCTAGGGCATTAAAATAAGACGGTACCCCTCTGTGCTGGTAGGCTGTCTGGTCTTCCCTTTGGTTATGGTCATGAGAGAAAGGTCACCTCTTCTCTTCCATATACATTAGCGAGTAAAGATGAGTTATGGAATTACACATCCCTGGTCTGGAGTGGCTTCTCTCAAGAGCCAGAGAAAGTAACTAGCATTTGAAGGAATTTAGGAAAGTTTACGGTGCAACGCTCACTCCCAAGCTAGTTATCTTGTTGACTGGTACTACTGGAAACGTGGTGAGGCTGATTTGGCCATGGATCACACAGCCTTGTTGGGGACCTTGGGTGCTTACTGACCCGTAATTGTCCTTTCCACTAGCTGCATGGGCGTACTCTACAGAGTCGATGCATGCTCCTGGTCTTTTTGTCTTCTTTCAAACAGTAATGAATAGTGAGTTTAATATACTCTACAGAAAGCTTGGCATTGATAGCATAAAGCCTGAATTTTCTGCACAAACTTCAGCTTAGCCTTAATTTCAAGGACTTCTTCCCTTTCACTTGGAAAGGCTACTTGTGTGTTTAAACATTAATCATGCGCCTACCTCTTTAGTAGCCGAAAACTGATGAAAGCTCGTTGCCTGAGCTGTTTAGTATAAATATGGACAAAGCTGGTAAATATATTGGAGAGGACAGTCCTGTAATGGAGGGCTTGAAGAATGAATTAGATGACCTAATTGAAGCTTTCCAGCTCTGCTCTGTATTATATGGAGGTAAAGTAATGTATCTGGACATATATTCATACAGTATGTTTCCATTTGGAAAATCATGTAGCTAAAGTCATCAAAAAAATCTTGTGAGGGAGAGTTTGTCTGTAATAACAATTAAATGTGACTGCAGATATTCCTGTTACAGGCAACTTATCTGTTACCAGGCGGTGAAATGTCTGGGCTGGCTAAGGCAATTTAGCAGAGATTTTTCAACAAATCTTAAATGGTGAAATCCTGGACTTTGTGGAGTCAATGGGAGATGGGAAGTCACTGGGAAATATGCCACTGGTGGCAGAGAAATAGAGGTTTCAACCTTGCTGACATGATCTCCTTGTGCTGATCCCATTATTGTGAAGAGCGTGCATGGCAGAACTCATCTCACAGGGCTGGCAGTGTACCTTCAGTCCTGTGCTCCCTAGGCAAGGGAAAATGCAGTACAAAGTTTATGTAAGAGATGTTCACCAATTGTAAATACCAAGAGTACAATGAGAAAAGGTGGATTTTCAGGAGGAGGAGGGTGACTTGACAAGGTAATAAGAACCCCGGTAGTGATTCGGGTGTAAAGTCCTCCTGGACCCAAAATAAAATTATATAAATAAATATGTAAAGGGGATCTGGAAATTTTGTTAGTTATTAAAATATGAGACTAGGAATGTTGTATCAGATTATCATCTCATCTCTCTGGGTAAGTTTTTAATTAAAACAAATATTGATTTAATTTGTGCAGTCTCACAATATTTGTTGAGTTAAAAGCTCAGGGATTTTATTTACTGGAGATAGAGGTTACAAATGCTGCTCCTTTAGTTGCAAGTGCGGTACATGATCTTTTTTATTTCAAAAATCCAACAAGAACCAACTCGACAGGTGATGTAAGAAATATATATTAATATAATGAACGGGCAGTTTTGGGGAGATTTTTTGATCACAGTGATATTTAAGAAACTGCCACATGGGTTTTAATTTATGATACTAAGAGTCAGCTTAGGCTGGTAGATAGCCAAGATGGACGGAGTGAGTGGCCTCGGAAAGGTGCTCCATTAGCTAAGGAGAGCTTGGACCCAACGTGTGCCTTTTTGGAGAGCGGAGATTTTCATCTCTCATGTCCACCTTTCTGCAGTGCACTGTTCTTGCACTCTATTTTGGGAAGGGATGGAAGAGTCATCGTGTGGGAGAATGAGTCACAATGGGTGACGCATTTGATTAGCATAGCATCATTTGGTGACTGGGGTGTGATGTAAGCCAGGATGAGTTTTCTGTATTTTTTTCAGAATTCATATTTGTTCGTTTTTCAAAGGTGTTTCTCCTTAAACTGAAGCACTGGAGTTGTAGAAAACACAAAACCTTTGTCTTTTGGGGGCTCTGAAACTGGGTTTGGTGTCACAGATTTCTTCCATGCCCTTCAGCAAGTGGCATGTGCTCACTGTTTCTGGGCTCCTCAACTTAAAATGCTGGGGCTACAATTCCTCTGGCCTCTGGGAATGGAGATGGGATAGTAAAGAAAAAAAATAAATAGCCTGAGTACTCAGATATTGCAATAGGTGTAGCCATGTTAACATGGAAAACTTAAACATGGGGAAAAAAATTAGAGAATTTTGCTGTGAGATTTTGTAGCTGGAAACACAAACTTTAATAAAGGCTCATACCACATCCACGTGTGTAGAGTCTTTTTATCACATATGTGCACCTGATTGCAAAATCTGAACTCACCTTTTTGCTTCACTTGGCTTTGTGGGCTGAAGCTCTGGGGCATCACGAGGCCAATGAATTTCCCTGTGGTGCCAGCCAGCAGCCGCTTCCCATGTGAAATTGCATGCTGTGTTTGGGATGCAGATCTTGGAAGACAAAAACTTCACAGGGTTCCCATTCTTCTTGTTTTTTTTTTATTTTTTAAAGCCAGTCTCGTTGGCTTCAAAGCTGGAGGCTGATGAATACGATAGATAGCCTTTGTGGGAAGGGTGGAAGGAGGGAGCAGAGCATTGTTTTTGCAGCGTTTTCCTGGTCTAATGGTGTTTGCTGCTCTGGTTCCTGCCATCCTCCGAGCTGTCCTGTAAATCAGCCTGCCCTGTTCTGTAATTCTGGGCTTGTGTGTACGGCAAATAGCGAAGATTATGGAGACGCCATTCGCTCCGTGAAGATCACAAGAGCTTCTGGGTGCAGGTGTCACCGGAGCCACCGATGAGGCTGGTACTGGCAGGTTCCAGGTAGTAGACACTGATGGGTGGTTGCACTCAGAGTTGTCCTTCTGGTTCTTCTGGAAGTTTTCTGAACGCTTCATGCTTGTAAGGTGGGCTGCTGAATTGCTGTACTAAGCAAAAAATGAAAGGCTTTCCTCAGAGGATTCAAGGCATTAAGTTTAGAGCTGAGTAGAAGAGACTTTTTCTTTTTTTTCTTTGCTAACCTAGTAGCTCTCAGCAGATAAAAGGTGCATCTGGGACTTAGCCAGTACTATTTAAAGTGGATTAATTCTGTTTGTCCCACTTCTCTCTTGCTTGCACGGCTGGTCCCAACTTCCATGAAGACTAAACGAAAGAAACTTGTAGCTCTGAGAGGGAGCGTAAATTGAATTATACTGCGTTTACTTGTGATCCTGTTGTGCTTGTGACAAGAAAGACTCTAACCTCCATTTATATAGAAAGAGGCAAATTAATGAGGATTTTCGAGTTCCTTGTTTGGTCACTTAATTGGCTCTATGACAAAGAGCTCTGCAGTGCGTGTCAAACAACTTTCAGAGTCCTCTAATGATTTGCGCATTGCTCTACTCCTGATGCTATTCTGCACAGCCTGTCAGGCGAGGTATCGTTGTTAAAGTGGCCGGAATAAATTGGCTAGCAGTGTGCATACAATGTCCTATATTAACTATAGCTACAGGGAGTACTTTTAGCAGCTTTTTCAAGAGATCGAGATGTTTGCCCATCAGAATCAAAGTGCCCCAAACTTTCATTTAATATAATTAAAAGGACATCTGAAAGAAGTATGACTCACAGCGGGGTTCTGCGGTTTGGTAGCCCTTTGTTAAAACTCTGTGAACGTAATATACTTCACAGCTTGAGAAACCTGCACTTGGTTTGTGTCAGCAAGAGCGAAACTGGAAATCCCCACCCTGCGTGTTTCTGCCGCGGTGAACCCGTTGTTAGGGGAGAGGAGGATCAAAGCAGCAGCCTTGGGTTTGTCACCGGACTCCGAAATTCTTCGCAGAAATATTAAAAAGGGAGGTTACCGCATATTCCTCTA